TACTACGACAGCCTAGGACTTGTTCAGATCTACGACATGCTTACATCGAATTTACCACAATAATGTGATACACCACGGCTGCTCCATTTCTTCTTTTCCATCCCAACTTTGTGGGAGAGTTCATTCGTGACACCGTCATTTCTACTTCTTCTGAAATGTAGTTTCTGTTGGGTGACTGAGTAGTAGGTAAAGTACGTAAAAACCGGATCCAGATCCAGCCGTTATGAATGCGCTTGGGGATGCGGTAACGCAAGAACCATGCGTCTCGTTATGTGCTTCACAGCACCACCCACTCTCATCACATTGCTGAGCACCCACTACAAGTGATTACTCGGTTGATTTATTTAGGTGGCTGTGTCATCGCTTTCGGTTACATTGCCGAAGTGGCTACTGCAAACGGAGTGGTGGGGCCTCTGGGGTTCTTTGAAGCTGTTGAGCTAGAGGAACCTCCATACTTTCACGAGTTCACCTCACGATCGGTAACTAACGCGCAGGCACACATGCCTGCCCTTCTTTCCTTATCTCAAATGGTTCTCGTTAATTGTGGAGTCTGGTGTGGCCCGTTCGCATGTTTTCTTCCTTATGTTGGGCTGCGCGTTGACGTACGTACGGTTAGAACTGAGACTTGACATTAGGTGGAGGAGGCTAACATGTTTATGGGAAACACACCACTGATCCTATGGTCCTATTCTACAGAAAAACCTGCCTTGGACACTCTAAAATCGATAACAGGAAACCCTTATTGATTTCATGGAGCTACTACAGATCCTGAATCCAACAGTGTTTCTTACCGAAAAATAGGTTTAAACTTCTATAGTAGTTTCTGTGGGACTAATGTCAAGAAGGTTTCGATGACCTCCTGTTTACGACATGCACTCTCTATAGCCGTCACTCTGGACATATTTCGGTGCTCCTTTGGGTGTTCTTTAAGATGTGTTAACAGCCAGACATTATGTCACCAACCTCTCTCAGAAGTCAGATAAAAGCGTGCACTCCAGGCGGCACCTGACTGTACATGCAACGAATTCGATCCAGAGATTTGAAGAAACGATATTGTTCCAGTGCTCCTTTCAAAAAATGATTGTTCGGTAACTTGGCAGAGAGTGAACCTTACCCAACAACTAAAAACAGACATTGAAAGACGCGGGCTGGTTTTTCCAGCCTATGTAACCGTCGTTGTGGCCACAACTCAAAAGCGCGAAGCACGTCGTGGGTCTCTTCAGACCAAGTTTGCCAGCGAAGTTACTGGTAGCTCCTATGTCGAGGATTGACACGGTTGCACATTGTTGAATGCTTACGTAATCACTGCGGAGAATTGCTTGTTGTTTTACGCCCTCATATGGTGCTTTTGTTCTCTTCTCCAACCAATCTTTGTCCATCTTATGCCTTCGCGGGGTATTTTCCTGTTGTGCATTCCAGAGGTACTTTAACCGCAGATGATGTGGCTTTTGTGTAAGTGACTAGTCGATGCATCCTTTATTTAGCAAACGCCTAGTTGAAACTAACTTGCCCGTGATTAGATCCTGTCCAAAATACAGTGGAAGCGCGGTGTGTTATGCAACACCGTAGATTAGAAGCCATCTTTACGATAGCGCAAACTGCGAGTCCTTATCAGGTAGATCAACACTCTCTGGTGCCCGAAAGCCCATCCGCAGTTATGGACTCTCAGGTGTCTAATGTCCACCTATGATGATCCAGATGCTGCGTGTTTTGCTCAGGTTCTGGTGTCGTTCATATTGTTCCTATTTTCATTGGGACCGTTGTGATAACACGGCGAATATATTACGCAGTTATGTGCATGCGTTATTACTTTTCTGCATTTGAAGCTCTTCTCCAGATTCATTTGCGTTGTTGTGAACGCAGTACTTTAAACTTCTGAACGGCAATTTCTTCGTCAGCGTTCTGGGATAACCAACAGCACAGTGCGGCATCTTTACCTTCAGCACTTTTCCATCCCCACCTAACTTGATATCTAATGCTGCGCTTGTGCTGCGTCACGGGACACATACTGGCACGTCTTCATCGTTCACTAAGACTTGTGATAGCGGGGTTTATTAGCCGTCGGTTTCAATTCACTTTAGTTCATTGCGGGGACTGTTTGCTTTCCATCGGAAGCGCTTACTGTCCTTTTCAAATGCAATACCGTGGACTGGAATCGTGATACCTAACCATGCGGTTTCGAATCGTTCGTAGCTTCCACCGTTCTCCTTTGTATTCGTCTACCATCTGTAACTGTGCTTGTAGGTAGGCTTGCTTTGAATCAGGTAGAAATAGGGTATTGCCCGCTCGAAACCGCTGACCCGTTGGCCCAATGGTTTGAGGTTTCAGCTAACATTCCAGTGGTCCCGGGTTCGAGGTCTGCTACTTCCAACTGATGAGACCAAACAAAGTCCAAACACGTCGAGATGTGCAACGTTTCCGTGCGGACAACATCAAATTTATACCTGCTTCGACAGTTACGGTTCTGGTGATCAGTTTGACCAAGGTTCACTTCAATAGGAATCGCGGTGCACATCGAGATTGCGCGTCGTAATTCACCCACACAACGTGTACTCAAAAATAACCCTCCAATTCGACTACTTTTGCTTTCGCATTTATACTTGATCAACCATTAGCTGCTGAGAACAAACTGCCTTCACTGATCATTCTGATGCCATTTTAGTCTACACATGTCTGTATGGCACTGCCTTTGACCCTGCCCACTCTATTCTTTATCCTATCTTGTTCTGAATTCCTCCAGAATACGCTAACTCTCCAAGCCTTCCCTTCAAATGTGTCCTCCATTGTTCCGCGACTTGATCAGATGAACACATGTGTACCTGGCTCAAGACCAAACATCGTCTCTGGCACATTAACACTTAACTTGAGCGAACATCGAATTGTGACCATTCCTGTCAGTCTGAAATACGAGGATGTGGAAGCCTGTCTTATCAGCATGGGTACAAATTTCGATGCCTATTCAACCGAACCATCCAGGAGCAAATCTAGGCGGGTGAAACAGACCTTGGAGACAAAGATTGAAGGAGCCCACAGCCCGTTGACGGGTCCAGGTACGTATTTTAAGTGCGAGATGTTCCCGATATATTGATTTATAGAAAACCACTCCTTATCTAACACAGAAGCTAGTTCGCATGCATCGAATGAGATCCCCGAGATCCCGATGCAAACTCAAAGAGGATGGTATTATGCACTCCGCGTCGAGTTTGTCAATCACTATCGTACTTCCGAAGTGTGCCGACCGAATTTCTGAATCTCATAGTATGTGCTAAGGATGATGATTGAAAACTAGATAGAAACCTGATAACAAATATTGGGCTATGGAGTTGGAAAAATAACTTGAAACAAACAGTTGACGGACAGCACGTTACTGGTATTTTGGCTGTTCCTTGTTGGTTAGCTTTTTTAACGGCTCATTCGGCCGATTCTGTAACTTCATTTCGAACCAATTAGCTTCTTAGCCTGAAGCGAATTTTTGTCAAAACCGTAACGTCGCTTAATAGATAGAATAGCCGTTTGTTCACATGCTCTTCTGCAATGAAAGTTTCTTCGTGCATACTTCGGGTCATCACTCTACCACACCTGAGGCCACTCAGCCACGCCTCATCACTTTGTCCAACGTGCGCTGCCTCCAGAGGTGATCAGGCGTGCGGGTGTTATGAATTAATCAGGTTAACGGGTTTGAATATCTCAGATCGCTACACGGAGAATTATAAGTCTTGTTTCGAGACGCTAGTTAGTAGATTTCCGGAATATTCACCTTTGACCCAAACAGACACGAATATCCTTCTCCTGGGCACCGGAAATAAAAGGCATGCAGTCCATTAATGCCTGGTTTCCAAGGATTAGGTTGTGATCAAGCAAGTAACAGTCTTGCGGTCCCGGTTCTTCCTACCCCACTTTTTCCCCAGTCTAGGTCTCAGGTTGGCGCCATGAAATCCCCTCAATTATATGCCATCATAATTCATTGTCGATTAATCGTCTATGACGTACCCTTTCGATTCACTAAGGGCTACTTCGTTGGCTTCCGGTTTCATCTCCTTCATACATTTGTTCTTTCTGTTTTCGGTTTGTCCTCGGATTTAGACTTTCCAAAACGGGATGAACAAACCGCTTTCAATGAAAAGTGTCCTCGTCCCACTTGGATACACAAGCTACGAACAAATCATCAAGATTGTGTTACACTCACCCCAAATCAGTCTGGTAACGGTGAACCGGCCACATCTTTGGCGACGCCGGTTCACTGCAGTTCCCGATGCCAAACATCATCCACAGTTGTCAACTCACGAACACATGAAGAGATACAAGCAGCACGAACCATCTTGTCCTTAGCCAATTCTGGCGAACTTCCGGCCTTCTTGCAGCACCCCAATTCCTTGTGCTGCGAGCTGGACGGGACGTTGCACCAATTCCGTAAGGTTTCACCCTCTATACAACCGAAGGCAGTTTCAAAACTTACTAGCAATCTGTTTGCTAAACCAGTTTTTTCCTCATCGGCTTGCGCCAACCAGAATTGTTGTTGACGATAGCACGAGCGTTTAAATTTGCATCGATCACACATATCACTTCATATGTAAAACACCGGAGGTACGAATCATAGAGTTAGTCCGACGATACGGAGTGAAATAACATCGACGTTGAAGCTGCTTCTATTCAATAAGCTACAGACGATTTTCCTTTCGCACTACCTGCGTACGCGTTTACGGCTTTTGTGGAACAAGCAAGCAGTGTTGAACTGCATCTCGTTGCATCAGTGCCACATGATAATATTTACCCCGGTGAGATTGTTACCATTAAGCAAGAAGAGGGAGTGTGCTTCTTTTTGACAGGATGTCGAATGGCAAAAGCTGTAGTACTGATGGTGTCGACACGTAAATACAGCGTCCTTAGGTTGTTAAGCTCACACTGTTACATCCAGCTTGGAAGTTGCACCAGCCTTACCTAGACACTTTGGACGAATATCCAGTTGTGAATTACAAGCTTGTCTGTTTACAGCATTTCTGGTAGCAAGTACGTTTCTTCCCTTGAGGTGACTTCGTTTCCACGCGCTCCGTAGAGCGCGCTACTAACGGATCCCATGTGCTTACTGTGTCAACCGCCAGACATGCGATTAATCGTGTTATCTGACGTACACCACGCAACTCAGAGAATCTCTTAGCGATCATCATGTTTACATGTATACGGTAAAAGCAGTGACTGTATCGTCCTAACCTCCATTTGACTTCTCCAATGAGTAAAGCGTTTCTCAGGCCTCAGGTTTGGACTCTATTGAATCACTCCGCCTGTTGTACAACCAGGTCAGAACAGGCGCAAGATAACTTGAACTTGGAATTTTAGCGGACACTGCTTTCTCTGCCATCATTTGGTATATCGAAGAGTGGAAATGCTACATTTTTCTTGGTACCATTTGACCGGCTTCAAAAATAGGACAGACTGTATTAATATAGCCAATCTGCATGAAAATTATTGGAAGGGCGGAGTTTGTGCAAAAACAGAATGGGAGTGTTTTGTGGCTTTCATTATCATATTTCACCAGAACTGCAGGCATTTTTTGAAGATTTATCAAAATGTACATCCAGGAAATGAATGACGGTGGACTCATGAAAAAGAAACAGCATCAAATATGGGACGATATACGCACAGATTACATAGCACAGCAGCTGTCTCCCATGGCTCAGTGGCTTAAGCCACTGGGTAGTTGGTGTCAGTCTCTAGCGGTCATGGGTTCGATCCCCAGTAGGGGACCGAAGGAATGCGCACCATTGACGAGCCCCAATAGGGCGAAATGCGTCTGGTGCTTTTATGGATCGTGGTTGAGCTATGTAGCTTGTGAGTTGCTGGGATGGACACACTAACACTAGTTACCAGTGATCAAGACTTTAACATTGAGTTAACGAGACTAGGATGAAGGAAAAAGGGAACTGGGCTTAACGCAACCATATGACACCTGATTATGTGCTTCCAATTTTTTAACTTTGTAGCCGAGTGAAGTAATGAAATTTGCGCAGATGAAGCGAAAATCTAGCACGTCTTTAATTTGCTATACACTCTCAACACGCACTGTCAGCATGGAACGGTCGAGTAAAGTACTTAATGTGTTGCAGTTTGTGTAGGAGGAGGGGTGGGTTCGGTGTCGCTTCCTTGCATGTGGAGCTTCGAGGTTGACATTGCCCGAACAGAGGGTATCCTGGAATGGGGATACTAGTACATCTTCCCCAATCATTTCGGCCAATACTTTTAGTGCCTCTGGAGGCACCTGAAAACCGCATTTCCATTATATCTTTCACTGTGAAAAACGCTTCCAAATAGGCTTTAAATTTGAAATGTCTCTCCTTCTCACTTGCAGTGGCAACATGTCCCATATATGGGCATCATTTACCGCGGAAAAATTTAAACGAAGCTTTATCCTCACCTTTCGCATAGGCTGTGAACAACATTTATTTCTTGTGGGATACGTGGAGGAATTTTGTGTTATGCGCACCGTTTCCGTCGTGTGTGCCCGAGAATGTGTACTGCTGTAGAAAAGCACGAGGTTGTTTTTCAGCCACCACAGTTGAAGGAATCCTAAATGTAGGTAACGATGCAGATCCTCACAGTACATAACGGTCGAGCGTTCAGTCCAGGTTCGTTGTACATTTTCTTGGGCTATTATATCTGTACCACATAAGTGGCCGCGGATGACAGTGCAATACTCCAACGTGGATTACACTATGAGGCTGGACATTTGTAGCCCCTACTTTAGTCATAGCAAAGAACCTGGTGCTACATCGAGTACCTAAAAATACATATAAAGCTGCTTCGTCTTCCGACTTTCACCCCAAATCGGACTGAACCATCATACATTGGCGCAGGACTATTCGGCTTCCTTGCTGGAAAGCATTGCTTTGAGGACCGCCTCCACTGCCCGCACTGGGGTAAGGTGTGTGAAACAGTAGCGAATTAGGTGTGCTGTATCACTTACAGTCATCACGATGGAGGAGAAGGATAGTGCCACGGTACTGAGAGGAGGTGCATAGGCAGCACTTTCCGAATGGACAAGTCTGCAATCCAGCGCGTTTCCTCCAGTGTTCCGTAGCTATCTGGTTTATGCTACTCAATTGTGCCCTCATGTAGCCGAACATGTTATCAGTCTTATTTACCAGCTACCCCTGTGAGCTTCGGAGGCGGTACATTTCCAACAAACTGCTTGAAGAGTAGGATGCACCGATAATAATTTCGCATAATATGTTCAAACTGGTAAGTTGTACGATGTATCTGCAGACAGTGTCGTGTGGACAGCTTTTTCGCTGTGGCTAAGTTCCTATTTATTGTGTGGGTGCCAATCCACTGTAAATGGTCTATTCAAGCTCATGTATCCTATCCTTCGTGTACTACTCAGTAGAAACTCATGAATGTTCCTTACTTTCCACAAGCAGTGACAGGCAGCAAGTATATGCGAAAACTGAATTATACTCCTGGTTGCTGGGATCGACGGCGCTACTCCTTAATGTGATGCGATCTAGCATACATTCACTAGAGGTCAATGTTATGCGCTATTTTACTCACCTGCCCCACAAGACTTCGCGTTGTGTCCCAACTTCCTCCCGTGGTTGCCTGTGAACGTACCTAACATATCTTCGTGGCCTCCTTCAACTGAATCGTCACATGGATAGCGGAAGTGTTGTGCAAAATGTACTGTTTCCTAAAGCTGTGGTTCACTTCCTCTTGTCTTATTTTGCGAGGTGATAAATTAGATAACTTTTAAGACTTCAGCCTTACTTTCTTGTAGATGGATCAAAGAACTCAGATAGCATGGAGACAACGGACACACAAGTCGTTGGACCCAGGCAGCGGTCGCCCATTGTGGACTGTTCGATTGGTCCCACCTTATTTCCTTTAGACTCCCAATCAACTCCACCACGCCCGGCCTCTATTGTCAATTGTGTGCAAGAGCAGCATCATTTTAATCCGGCTTCTCCTGTTACCGGTGCTGAGTTAGCTCTCAATCGCAATAGTAACTCCCGACGGTGCTGCTCACCCGGACTCGACGAACTTTCCTCACCACTTACAATCAACCCAACCGACAAAACCGGTCAACCTACAAACCCACCAATCCTCCAACCGCAAGCGAATTCATCTATTTCCACGCGACTCCCAAGGACGCACACGTCTTTTCGACCGCCCCCGAAGAAGCGGCTATCCTTGCACTATCAACGCAATCATACCGCCGCAGCTGGTGAGTCAACACTAAGATAACCCTTAATTTAAAGCAGTTACTTCCCTACAAAATGTCTTAAGGCGCGGAAAGAAGACGATAACCGATGGATGTATACATTATGTATTGTCTCCTCAGTACCATTAACAATAACTGATATACATAAGTACAGCTAACATTGGGTGCGACCAGACATGCTTGAGGTGCGAATTGTATGACTGAAGTTCACTCCTACCTCCGTGGCAGTCTTACGCTTACAAATAATTGTTTTTGAACTCACAGAGCTGACTTCATTCGGCTTATTGCGACCGTCTCAGCAACCTGGAGGAAGCGAGGATTAGCATGACGCAACACAACTATGAACGCTGGGCCGAAACCCGGAGGTGTTTGCCCTTCGAAGAAACCGGCGACTCACACGAGCACGGGAGTTGAGGGGGTAGGGAGTCTGGGCGCTTTCTTGCTAGACTCATGTTGGCACATATTCCTTTATTCGGGACTTCAGCGTCCTATCGGTTCTGCTTATGTAATTACCTCCGCAGTTACACACGAATTGCTATATGCAGTATGAACTGGCCCCGCTAAGTTGCGTTTCCTACGTTTGAGTAACCGGCAAACTTCGAGTTCTGTTGATGACAACGACTTGAGCAGCGTAGTAAATTCACTGGTTAGTCGAGGTTATTCTCTTAGTTGTCTTTAGCTTGGCAGAATCACCTCTGCAAGGGAACTCGATATAATCTTTCTTGGTTGTTATGTGCACCAAGTCCTTCTGCCATCGTAGCTGGTATATTCTCAATAAATCTTCGAGGATAGCCGCTATCTCCTCGGCCAGATATTCAGCCGAACACAGTCGTCTAGCATGACTAACTAGTGTCTTCACAAGTAGCACACTGGTGTGAAGCTGGTGAAGTACAACTACTGACTGGACCAAGTTGATTTTCGACAAACGGATCTCTTAATTAATCCATCCTCGTGACTGATGAGGATGTAACGCTAATCCCTGCTTCCTTCGATTTGTTACGGCAGTCACTGTAAGTCGGATGCAGCCAGCCCTGCGTGTTCAAAACAAGTATTTATCAATTTAAAGCTGTCATGGATGTAGGGGGTTCTTCCGTCATTTATTCTGCACCTCAAGCATGTTTGGTCGCATCTAATGTTAGCTATTATATTTAATTGTCTTCTTGCTAGTCTATGTCTTGGACCACCCATTTTGTGGTTGTCATAATCTCTTCAAACCTGAATGAGGTACATGTGTTTGATAGAAGCAGCCTGGTTCCCAGTTATTTCTTGCCCAGGAGCAGAAGTGTGACGGACGCTTTGCTCTGACTCACATCGACATGCTAACATCTAATGACAGACAGCTTGACTTGTGTTGTCGAACACCGCAATGAATAGCGAGCAGGGCGAATATGCGAAAAACCGGAGTCTGTTCACTGAACAAAACGTGAACCAAACGCGCGTGAAGAATTCACACTGTACAGCCTGCACTAGCCGAATCCGCATTTTATCATGGGTACTGATTTCTAATCAACACTTGTCTGTTGCTCGAGATCTTTAGACATCAGCCGGGTTGACCTTGGGCTCAGCTCCTTCTGGTGTTTGGGGCAACTGGTTGAGTGAACGGGATTCATGTGCTCCGCTGGTTTGCGTTCGTGGAAACGTACCCTCCCAGCACCTTCCCCCTTAGGTGGTTCGCTGTCCGATCTCCACTTTGGATCAAGCGGAAACGGAGTTACTTGCTTACGCGTACGGCTGGATTTGCGTCTTTGCTGCGGCATGGCATCTGTCGTCCGGGCTAGGTTACATGCCGCTCCGGCTTCAGTAGGCCTTTCTATTTCGAACGCCTTCAATATAAAATCAAGAATAAGTGATCCATTGCCGCCCTGTGCATCATGGCAAAAAGTCCGGCGGAGTTGGTTAACGTGGCGCCTCCACAACAACTGACCCACCTGGACGTCGTACAAGGCACACCAAATACGTCGTTTAATGATGCCGACAGCCCACGTTTGATGACCACAGCGATGGTCTCTAACTAACACACGATCTCTTGATCGCAACGTATGCTTTACTTGCATCACAACCGACTGCTGGCGCGATACTGGTCGGATAACATCGCGTGCCAGACATAGTTTCCTGTTCATCAAGGCTTCGGCAGTGGAACAGCCGTTCGGACTTTGCGGATCTGCAGTTATTCTGTAGTTCAGTTAGAATGTATCCAATGTTTCCTCTGTCGTTTCCTTCCCCTGGATTTCAGTATGGCCCGTTTAAAAGTGTCGACAGACCTCTCTACCTGTCCATTTGATTGCGGATGGAAAGGAAGCGTTTTCATATAAGTGATTCCGCATCTTTTTGTGAAATCAAGGAACAACTGGGTAGTGAATTGCGTAACGTTGTCGGACACGATTGTCTCCGCAAATCCAAAAATGGAAAACAGATGTCATAGTGTCGCGATAGCTGCAGTTACAGTGCTTGAATCCATGAGGAAAATTTCTGGCTACTTGCTGTAGGCATCCACGACAACTAGGAAACGTTCTCCGTTAATCGCTCCAGTAAAGTCAATGTGGAAACACACCCATACTCTCTCTGCTTTTGGCCAGGGTTCTGGTGGGTGTTGGGCAGTTTTTGGGCGATGGCACAGCTTAAACAGCTTCGACAAAGGCGTTCCAATTGTTCATCCACAACGAGGCAATAGATGTGACTCCTTACCAACGTCTTCATTTCGTTTCTACCCGGATGTCCCAAATGAAACTGCGTCAAAATCTTGTTGTGCAGTTCCGAAGGAATGACGATGCGGTCAGCGCAACGGAGGCAACCATCGACAATAGATAGTGCGTTACGTCACTGGAAAACTTGTAGGAGTTCCCCAGTTGGGCAATGTGATGGCCAGGCGGATAGGTGATATGTCGTCGCCTGTTGGAGAGTGTTGTCCGATTCAGTCGTTGTGCGTACCATATCAAAAGTCACCGGTAGTCGGTTTATGGTCTCCAATGCGGTGGCTCTGACTTCGAGATCATAACAACGTTTACGATAACCATTTCTTCTGCTTTCGGGCTGTGATCACGTATTAGTCATGAAAGTACATCTGCTTGTCCTGTGCTACTAGTGGAGAGGTACTTGATAATGAAGCTATAGTTCAGCAATATTGTGGCTCAGAATTGTAACCGGTTCGCTGTGTAGACTGGTATGCCTTTCTTGGAGCCAAAAATGACCAACAGCGGCTTGTGGTCGGTGACAAGGGTGAAATGTCTCCCATAGAGCATTTTATGGGATTTCTTTACGGCAACAATGATAGCCAAAGCTTCTTCTTCAATTTGTCCGTAATTGCGCTCCGCTGTGGTTAGAGATCGAGCGATATGAGCTATTGCCTTTTTCGTCCCATCAGGAAATTCATGGGCTATGACTGCTCCCACTCCACGACTTGACGCGTCAATTGTCAGTATGATTGGAAGTTTTGAAGCAAAATGCGTCCGCAACAGTTCAGAGTTGAAGTATTTTTTTACCTGCTCAAAAATATTTTGGCGTTCGCTTGACCTCACCCATTTACATTCATTTGTAAGCAGCGGATTCATTTGTCTACCTACTCGGTGCATATCTGGCAGGAATACGTTTTAATAGCTAAGCAATCCGAGAAATGACCTAAGTTCAGCAACCTTTGTAGGTGGGGGCATCTTTATGATTTCCTAAATGTTTGCCGCGTCGGGTCGTCGATCATCTTTGTCAATGATTAACCCAAGGTACTTTATTGAATTCAATATGAACTGACATTTTTCCTTTTTTAGTCGGAATCTATATCCAGGTGTTTGTTGCAAGACAGCATCTACACGAACGAACAGTTCTAATCTCGTTCGTCCAATGATTATGATATCATTTTGTTAAGGTTTTCATCCCAGTAGTTCACAAGCTACATAGCAGAGCCTAGTCCGGAAAAGCACCAGACACGTTTCACCCTATTGGGGCTCGTCAGTGGTGCGCAGTCCCTCGGTCCTCTAAGGAGGATCGAACCCATGCCCGCTAGAGGCGGATACCAGCTAGCCAGCAGCTTAAGATACTGAGCCATGGTGGATGTTGGCTGGGCTACATTACTTGCAAACTATGATATCATCGAGGTAAGCAGCCACTTCGTCCAATCCGCTGAGCATGGTATCTATAATCAGATGAAAAATGGCTTGGGGCTGTCTTTACGCCAAAGGGTAAACGAGTGTATTGAAACAAACCACGGTAGGTGTTGACGGTGAGCAGAATCCTGGACTCATCTGAAACCTCAGCCTGTAGGAACGCTTTCAATAGGACGAGTTTAGCGAAACACGTGCCACGGTTCATTTTCGCAAAAGTGGCCTCTGGCAATGGTATAGGATAATGATGGTCGTCGAGGGCATCATTCCGTCCTGTAGAATCGTTTACACAAATTCTGACATTCCAATTCGGCATTTTTACAACAACGATTGGCTCCTCCCAAGAAGAATACTTAACCAGCTTCAATACCCCGATTTCTTCTAGGCGTTAAAGTTCGGCGTAAACCATCGGCATAGCTGCATGTGGGATTGGTCTTTTCGACCCGAAAATTGGTTTGGCATCCAGGTGCAAGCGAAGCATTGCTTTTCATTTCGAGCAGCATCCAAGCGTTTCTGTAAAAACTGTACTGAATTTACTCAAGAGGGCCAACATAACTCCATTTATCTCTGGCAAATTGGACACCCAGAATCTTAGACGGTGCTGATGATCACAACTGGTTGATGGGCATGTCAGAAAGTTCCAAACGATCAATCCAGTCAATACCAAGAAGGTTGAGTTCACAACCAACTGTGTGAATTGTACGATGCTCGCGCTTGCCTTCTATTGTCAGCTCATAATCAAATTCACCAAGCAATTTGATTTTACCGCCGGATGCATTTCTGGCTGTTATTAGTCCGACAATATCCTGACGAACCCAGTTTCTTCCAGGTACTTTTGGACGCGACCCTTATATCGGACGCCGTATCAAGTTACAAATGAACCGTTCTTCCGTTTATTCTCGCGGTCACCTATTTGTGGTGGCGTTTGAAAT